ATCATGTTCTCCTTTGTTAGAATTAAAGACCGACGAATGGTATTGATTTAGTCGTGGGTCTAATTATGTATGTAGGTACTTTCCTTTTTTTCCTATCATAATTCTAATCATTAATTTGTTCCACTATGACTTAAATAATTATGAGCAATTGAACCCATTTTCACTCATTTTAAGGTATATTTTTCTATTTTTATTTTATATCTATTTGAGCCTAATTGACCATTAATTATGTTATCTTGGTGAAAAGGAACGAAAATCGAGCAAGTATGAAGTAAAAGTAGTGAATTTTGAGTGATCGAGTGAATTACATGGGCAAATACACATCCGTGTGGGAGGCCGTGTAACCGTCTCGACTAAAGAAAAACACTTTTCTTCATTACATGGGTAAGGACACACCTGTGTGGGAGGTCATGTAACTCTCGACTTGAAGAAAAACATATTTTTTAATTACACGGGCAAGGACACACTCATTTGGAAGGCCGTGTAACTCTCCGACTTGAAGAAAAACATATTTTTTAATTACACGAGCAAGGACAAACCCATTTGGGAGGTCGTGTAACTCCGTGACTTAAAGAAAAACACATTTCTTCATTAACGGGCAAGGACACACCTATGTGAGAGGCCATGTAACTCTCTAACTTGAAGAAAAATACATTTCTTCATTACATGAGCAAAGACGAGACTCGTGTGGGAGGCCGTGTAACTCTCCGGCCCGAAAGTTTACTCAAGAAGAACCCTACAATTTCATTTTTCTTTCCTTCCTACTCCATTTTATTCAAGTCTATACAAGTCCCAAATTTATCCACCATGTTTTGTGTAACCCAATTCCATCATTCACACCCCCCAAACATGAATTTAACCATATACAAAGCTTTCTAAATTTTGGACAAGCAACCAACACAACCAACAATACCAAAAGAATTACAAGGCAAATCAATTAACACAACCAATCACAACAACATATCACCACCTAAACACATGTTTAGTTAATTGTATAAAGATTAAATAAATGATATAAACAAGTAAAAAGTAACCCACTTACTTAGCTTAGGTATGGCTAGAATTTCCTTGGCTTTGTGCTTTCCTTTTCTCCTTTCATTTTTTTTTTCTCTTCCTCTCTTTTCTTGTCGTTTTTCTCTCTAGTTTGTGTAGCTATGGATTGCCTAAAATTTTTCTTCCATTCTCACTTATTCTATATATATACATGCTTAAAATCTCAGCATCAATTAAGTGTATAAATGTCTTAATTTTATTTGGGAGAGTGGAAAGCTATAGGTGAGTCATGAGAGAGATGGTGGCGAGGTTGGAGAGGTTTAGGGTGAGCTAGTTTTAATTCATTAATTAGGGGGTTTAGGTGTCCTAATTAATTGGTTAGAGTAACTAAACACCCTAACCAATCTAGTTCAAGTAACTAAATATATTTTCCTTCATAAATCTTCGTAAATTTCCCCTCTAAAATTCGAAAATTCCTTTCCTTTTCATTCTGATATTTCCAAGAAAAATATTCCTATATTTCTAAAATTTTATACACACCCCTATTTCACTCGTATAATATGTCCCAAGGACTTAATATATAATGAGTGGTAATTAATTAATTTGTCCGAAACTTCATCCCAAAATTCTCACATAAGTGCTAAATAATTATCATCACCAAACAGGTAAAATGACACATACAATTGCACTCGTACTTAATGTATATTTACATGAATATTTCGACATATATATATATATATATATATATATATATATATATATATATATATATATATATATATATATATATATATAATATATATATCTCATTAAAGATTTTCACAGAGGTTACACTTTTATTACAAAGTCCTTTTAATTGAGATGACAAAAAAAAAAAAAAAAAAAAACCGCATACAAGATATTAGTGGAATTACTATTTATAAACTTTGTAAACTATGCTTTTTTTGAAGAGATTTCCCTCCCCTGTGAACAAAATAATAATAATAATAATATATGTAAGATATACGTTAATTACTTTATATATTATATAAAAATTTATTTTGAAAGTAAATAAAAATTAGCACTAAAATATATATGATGATTTGGACGTAAAAAGAGAGAGAGATCATGTTATTTATTATTTTCTTACAATTATATATAAATTTTAATGTAAAAAAATTAAATTATATTGAAAGTGGTTGTAATGATTATGAAAGGATTAATCATAATTTTAAATTTAATTAATGCTTCTCATATTTCTTTTAATTTGTTATTTGTTAAATATAAAAATAATGATGTCACTTATGATGATGCTTACATTTTTACTTCAGTAACTCTTGCATAAAATACTATAATATCATCATCAATAATAATATTATATTAATTCTCATTGTTATAAAATTGTAAATATGAAGTAATTAATCGAAAATGTTGAAGTAAGGTTGCGTTTAGTTAAATGTTTGGTTTATTTTTTAACACATAAAACTATTAAATATATTTGGTTTATTTATTAAAAAAAAGAAAAATACAAATTTAACCCCAAAATGTATCCTACTTGTATCCTTGTATATTTTAAATTGAATTTATTATTTTATTTTTGTTTTTTCAGTTTGTCCACGTATCTATATTTATTCAGTTGTTTGTGATTTTTAGTTGTCGTATTTTATTTGTTTATTTTCAAGTCAAATTTTTATAAATATAAAAAATTTCTTTTTTTTTCAGTACCTTTTAAATTTACAATACTAAAAATGCAAGAATCGTTTAATCAATTTAGGAGTAGAAAAGAAATAACATGCCAAAATCAATATTAATTAATGGATTCTTGATATTTTCTTAAAATTTGTATTGTTTTTTTTTTTTTTTTTTTTTGTAAAAGGACCAATAATATTAAGACGGGGTAGGAGTAATTAATTCATTTCAATAAGGTAGCAATGACTAATTCATAATTAACTCTGTTAAATAAAATGGAATTTCATTGCACAATGACGGAAGTGGGTCTTTGGATGGGTGCCATTTGTCCTATCGATCCTTACGGGCTGGGGCTGATGTGAGAACTCCTTTCAGCAGCCTTTTTTAACTTTGAAAGCTCAGACTTTGATAATGGAATGAATGGTCATAACTCGTAACATACTACTTCTGGCTACCTTCCATTCCACCCAAGTGGGCACTAGATAGGATCCACTCGGAAATTCTTCCACACAATTCTTGATGGCTTCCAATTAAGACAACAAGCGCACGTAATTCCAAATTTTGATTTCAGATACACATCTGATAATTACATGTTGGTGCATGCATTTTTCAAAATTATGTCATCAAATAAAAAAGAAAAAAAAATCAAAATTGAAGCAGAGAGGATAACATTTGCCGACACTATAATGCTACACAACTAGTTAGCGACACTTCTACAAGATGTAGAGGATTTTATTGATTTGAATTCTGGTCTTCCTTTTCCCCGCAATTCTGATCCTAGTTAATTAGAAATGAAAGAAATATGTACCCATGTCTATAGATACGTGTCGCGCATGGGAGGGTCTTACAAAATTTGTTCACACCTAAAAATATGGATTGACCGAGATGTGTTTTTATATATGTTAGTCTTAATTGTTGAAGTCAAAAGAGTATTTATTTTTGAAGTTGAAAGTTTGAATTTTACTTATCAAAGTTTAGTTTATAGTTGATGATATTTTTACGTCTTTATACATCATCATAATTATCTTTAAAAATATTCTAAACTTTGATTATGATATAAATACGATAGATACTCATCCAAATAAAAAAACATGATGCAATATAAAGAAATATTCATTTATTTTTATATAATATTTAAAATCTGTCATATTTTGTTAAGTTTTTAATTGTTTATCATTTTTTTAAAAGTATTTGAAATATTTATTCTATTCTTTCAATTAATTTTTTTCAGTCAAATAATTTTTTTGATTGAAATATCTTTAATTGAAATGTAAAATAAAATAAAATAAAATTTTAAAAATGAAATATGCGAGTCATGTGACTTTCAATATTTGTTTTTATTTAAATGAAGGGTATTTCAGTTAAAAAAAAATTATGATTGAAAATTTTGATAAAAAGAGTACAGATTGAACATTTCAAAAACTTTAGAGACAGATAAAATACATTGAAAATTTAAGAACATATGAGAGATTTTAAATATTATGTAAGAATATATAATTATATTTATCAAAAAATATAAGATAGTACACTTATTTTTTCATTTCTTAAAAAAAAACCTTAATTGTCTAGACAACTCGAAAACTATATTTAAGATAAATATAATGTTATGATAAGAAAAATAAATAACATGAACATTTTAAGTAGTATATAATAGCACATGCATCATTTTTTCAACATTCTAACACATGGAAAATATCTCATAAGACGGAACAAGATCGGTTAGTTATTAATTTATGTAAGGAAAGTTCTAATTATCTAAGGAAGTGATTTCGATTTCACGTTTTTATATATGTTAAAAATTCTTTAATTAGTTGTGTATGTCTTATGAATTTAATCGAATAAGGAAGAATTAGTTTAAATTTTTGAGATTTTGAATATACTAAGGATCAAAATACATATATATATATATATATACACGCGTGTTGCGTGAGATACAAAATGGAGTAATTGGGCATCAAAGCGAAATCAGGAGGAAGTGGCGAATATCCAACAAATGGATCAATAACTTTGACATTGAAATTACACAAGAATGTAAAAAAGAACCCACAAATAGATAAAATCTTGATATCCTTTAAGTGAGGTCTTATCAGATTTGGAGAAGACCAACGTAGTGGTCTTCTATGATAATAACATTTACAATTGAATAATTGTGGAGTTGCTGTTACTCCCAAGTTCCCACGATTATAGCTTCCCTTTCAGCATCTTCTTTTCACACTATGAAGTTTCATCTCATCAGTACTCATACGTAGCTACCGCTATAAAAAGAGAACAATAATTAACCTTCAATTATATATTGGTCTCTCCATCCCGAGTTCCAAGAGATTTAGGAAGCTAGGAAAATGGGTGACAACGCATTTCTTCTAAGTTTCTTGATTGTTTTTGCCCTTGTCTCGAGCTTCAAATTCGCAAAGGCTCAGATGGTGCCGGCCATGTTTGTTTTTGGTGACTCCCTAGTCGATGTCGGCAATAACAATTACCTCCCAGTGTCTGTTGCCAAAGCAGATTTTCCTCACAACGGCATCGATTTCCCTACTAAGAAAGCTACTGGAAGGTTTTGTAATGGAAAGAACGCTGCAGATTTGCTTGGTGAGTTTCATGCATGCATGTTTGCTTGTCATCTAATTAAATAATACCAATATCCCTAATTAGAAACATGCTATCTATATATATTTTGCGCAGCTCAGAAAGTAGGCTTACCTACTTCACCACCGTATCTATCCGTCTCGCAAAAGAATGCCTCCTCCTTCATGACCGGTGTCAACTTTGCCTCTGGTGGTGCAGGAATCTTTAATGGCAAAGATCAATCTTTGGTAAATTAAAACATAACCTGATCCATGATTTTCTCTTTGGAATAATTAATTCCCTTCCCGTATCTTTACCTTTTTTCTCCCCACATCATGGGCCGGTCTTGACCTTTTCTTAAATGGACTACAAAGCCCATTAAAAAAATTCCTTCTAAATGTAATAGTAAATTATAAATAAATTAATCCTTTTATTTTTTTCAAAACAAATTAAATAATCCTTTTAGTTTCAAAAAACAATTAATTAGTTTTTATGTTTTTAAATATACTTATAAATTAATCATTTTCGATATTTTTCAATTTTTTTATTTTAAAAACTAGAAGAAAAAATAAGTAAAAATAATAATAAAAAAATAAGTTAGAAAAAAGATTTATAATTTACTCAACCAATATAACATATGGTCTAGTTGGTTTCAGTTTTATATAATTATATGTTTTTTTTCAATTTATTCAATTAGGGTCAATCGGTACCACTGACCAAACAAGTAGGCTACTATGAATCCGTTTACGAAAATTTGGTCCAAAAGCTGGGATTGTCTGGAACACAGAAGCTCCTGTCTAAATCACTGTTTGTCGTTGTCGTCGGTGGCAATGACCTCTTGGATTACTCTGGTTCGTCTGATCTCCAGAAGAAAAGCACCCCTCAGCAATACGTGGATTTGATGGTTCTTACACTCAAAGAGCTGCTTAAGGTAACTACTATGTACTCTAATTACTGTATTATGTTGTATATAGAAGTTTTATGAACTCTAATTAACTCGATCCTTTGTTGAGCAGAGATTGTACACCTCTGGTGCCCGTAAATTTGTCTTTTCTGGGGCTGGGCCAATAGGCTGCATTCCATCACAGAGGATTAAGAACCAAACAGATAAGGAATCTTGCAACGAAAGCACTAACGCCCTGGCCGTTACATACAATGAAGGGCTAAAGTCGATGTTGCAAGAATTGAAATCAAATCTCAATGTTATATCCTATTCCTATTTTGACACCTACGCCATGTTGCACAATATCATTCAAGATCCAGGAACATACGGTACATGACGCGCGTGCATAGTTAAACATTGTTTAAATATGTTATAGTTGATTATAGAATTAATTACCTTAACTAAGCAAGCAAATTTGTTGATCTAATTATCGCTCTTTATTGTCAGGGTTTACCGAGGTTAAAGCTGCTTGTTGTGGGCTCGGAAAATTGAACGCCAAGATCCCATGTCTGCCTATTTCAAAATATTGCCCCGATAGGAGAAATCATGTTTTCTGGGATCTATATCATCCTACAGAGGCCACTGCTGGCATTCTTGTCGATTCTATTTTTGATGGAACATCGCAGTACACATTCCCCATGAATGTGAGGCAGCTTGTGACAGTTTAGGTTTAGCCCCCACACATTAAATATCTTCACGGAGGAAGACTTTACCTTCCTGCAAGGTTGTACCAAAAGAAACAAAAAAGGTTAAATTACTTGGAGTACTGTTGCACATGATTTTTTTTCTTTTAATACCAAAAAATTCTGAATTTATTCGGCTTACATTACAATCTTGTAACTTGTAAGAGCTTTCATTACAATCTTCTGAGAGCAAAGCTCTTATCTCGGGAGTTGGTCTTACAATCCAGTCTAAAGGACAAGAATTAGGCCTTAAAGATTTGGCTAACAAATCCGCCACTTTATCCGCTGATCCATAAATACAACGGAGACTACACCTGAGATTAATACAAAACAAGTACTTAATATCAGCTACCTACTAGGGGTTCGATCTCCTAATGATTCGTACCTTGTAGAATATCGCTAGCAGCTATTTCCGAATTTGTCCCAATAAGGACATCATTACGGAAATGAACTGCCTCGTTAACAGTCTGTGTCATACATGGACAATGTTCCCCATGAAAAGTGGACCTGCATGGGCATTTGAAGGTTCTACCTCCCACCACCCGTTTTAACCGTTTAATTTTCATTAAAAATTCTCAAAAAATTTAAAATTTACATTTTATATGATTTTTTTTTCACCCTTCGAATGTTTTAAAACTTCATTTTTTTAAGAGAGTATAATAAAAATGAGTTTCATAAGAAAAAAAATCAAAGTGTCAAAATAGAGAATTCAAAAATTGTGGGAAAAAAAAATGAAAGCACACAAAATTTAGAGTAAAAAAACAAAACAAAGAAATGTATGTGAGTTAGATACTCTATTCTTATTTTTATTATTCAATATCTAAACTTTGGTATGGAGGTAATCTAAACACTTGGTCAAACATAAATATTATATATAAAAAATAAATAAAAAATAAAGGAACTGGGGTGAGATTGTTCATGCTTACTGTCCTTCTTTTTTTTTTTTTTTCTGCCTTGCCTCTTTTTGTTTTTTTGTTTCTTTTCTTTTTCTCAAAGACCAGGGTTGCTGAACTTGTACTTCACAATCTCATTACTGTAGCATCCTTCACAGTTCCATTACTATAGTTTTTTTAATTTTTTTCCCCCGACATCCCTTTTTTTTTTTTTAATAGGTTAGGCATTTGAGATTTAGTTTGTCTTTTCTTTTTCAACTTGTTTATATATTTATGACTTTTAAAATAAAATTCTGGAACATGATTATTTTATTTTTAAGATATATTATTATAATTTATATGATAGATTATTTTTATGATTTTTATATGAAAATGGCGTTGTTGCTTATATAAATTCTAATGAGAGAGAAAGAGCTAAAAGTGTGTTTTAAATAATTTGACTTCATTTTTTAAAAAAAATAATAATCGATTAAAAAATAATTTGACTTGGTTTTTTTTTTCAAAAAATTAATAATTAGTTAAAAAAATTCACATTTTTATTTGTTTATATATATATATATATATATATATATATATATATATATATATATATATATATATATATATAATCGAATTTATCGAAACCAATTTTATAGTAGTTTTCATTTAAATCTATTCACTTCGACATATTTCATATAATTTAAAAGGGTTTTTTATATTTTTTTATTTAGTTTATATATTTTGAGTCTCGCTAAATATTATACACACACACACACACACCAACTAGGCATGACCCTATCTTTGTTTTCTTCCTATAATTTATTTTACATTTTTAAAAGTCTAGCCACCAATCTCATGATAGAACAAAAAAAAAAAAGTTGGCTAATTATTTTAAATCTTGATGTGTTTTGGGATTGGATCACCAAGATGCAAAAGGAAACCCTTAAAAGAATATATATATTATCATAGCATAACTAAATCTCCAGCAAGTGCTTTACAAATTAAACGGTCATATATAATTGGTCCATTCATTGAGAAAGAAAACATATATATTATTAGTCTCTTTAATGTCTATGAACCAATATTAATTATATCTTTAACACCGATGTTAACATACATATCCGATAATTTTATTCTTATTGTTTAAAATTTATTTCTTCAATTATTTGTTTCTTATTAAAATTCTCATTAAATTAATTTTTTATTTTTTTAATATAATTTTATTTGTTAATAAATTTGGTTTTTTAATATATGAATTTTGGAATAAAATTTTAGAACATCAATGTTTTATTTTTTAAAATATATTATTATAATTTATACAATAAATTATTTTCATATTTTTAAATGAGTGTTTAACTTATATATATATATATATATATATATATATATATATATATATATATATATATATATATATATAAGAGAGAGAGAGAGAGAGAGAGAGAGAGAGAGAGAGAGAGAGAGAGAGAGAGAGAGAGAGCTAAGAGTATGTTTTAGATAATCTAACTTAATTTTTTTCTTAAATAATAATGAGTTCAAAAAATTCACAAGTTTTATTTGCTTTTATATATATATATATATATATATATATATATATATATATATATATATATATATATATATATATATATATATATATATATATTTATTTATTTATTTATTCAGAATTTATTAGAACCAATTTTGTTGTAGTTTTTATTTTAATCTATTGACTTTAATATATTTCTATAATTTAGGTGATTTTTTTTATAGTTTTCTATTTATTCTATATACTCCGAATATATATATATATATATATATATAGAGAGAGAGAGAGAGAGAGAGAGCTAAGAGTATGTTTTAGATAATCTAACTTAATTTTTTTCTTAAATAATAATGAGTTCAAAAAATTCACAAGTTTTATTTGCTTTTATATATATATATTTATTCAGAATTTATTAGAACCAATTTTGTTGTAGTTTTTATTTTAATCTATTGACTTTAATATATTTCTATAATTTAGGTGATTTTTTTTTTATAGTTTTCTATTTATTCTATATACTCGAATATATATATATATATATATATATATATATATATCATTAGTTAACTACATATAGATTCGATTTATATTAATCACTAAAAATAAAAATTTATACTTGCATTACACCATACGAATCATTAACTTTATGTATGTAACGGTTGTACGCACTCGTAGCGTAACACGTGTATCCAACTAGTTCCTTCTAAAAGGACACGATCTTAAAAAATAAATTATCCAAGTTCGCATTACATAAGAGATAAAAATAAATATATATGTGTGCGCACACCTACACATATAAATAATACTAAACAAAAAAGAAAAAGAAGGGAAGGACCACAAAAAATAAAAAGAGAAATTAAAAAAAGAAAAGAAATTATATATATATATATATATAAGAAACAAACTAGTTTTATCATTGAATTACCTCTTGTGGTAAATAATTACTTTTAAACACTTATTCATTATGAAAATAATTAGACCAAACACAATTTAAATCAGGAATTTAAAGTTTTTTAATATTATTTATATAAAAATACGAACTAATTAAAAACTTTTGATTGACTATTATATTCTTAATATAATACCAAGATTATAATATACAATTAATACTAATAAGTAATGTCAACCCTACAAAATACCGATTTGGTAAAATTCTTTAAAAATTTTAATTTCTAAAAGGCTATTCTTTAGAATGAATCTTAAAATCTTGGGTTATCCTTTTTTTTTTTTTAACATTATTTTCATATTTATACACCAATTAAAATTCTAAATAGCATAAACAATACTTTAATCACTTCCACACTAGAGTGGCTCTATTAACACACTAATTAGTTTATTAACACAGTAATTCTAAGAGAAAATGACAAACCCATCCTTATTTTCTTATTCCTTAAAAAAAGAAAAGTTTATGTGAAGAAAAAACTGTAATTTTGAGTGTCCAACTTTTGATATATATATATATAAAAGTTTTGGAGTGTCCAAGTTTTGATTTTTTTTTTTTTCCTTTTTGTTTTGAGTGTTAACAATCGATTGAGAGTAGAAAATATTAATATGTCTGGAATAAACTGTCACGTAATTGTTTTTAACTAATATGAGATAAAAAAAAGTAGATCTCACAAGAATTGTTAAAAAAAGTCAATTTTTTTAATTGTAATTTAAACACATGTCTAATATTTGATTATTTTTCTCTTTTATAAAAATGCCATCACCATTAACCATTCTCCATAAATCATGAATGCGATTTCATCCATGATCTTCCACGTGCATTCTATTGGATTTTGAGATTTATTATGTTTAGAAGTCAATAAAACAAGGATTTTAACATCTACGATGACAATTATAATTCAAAATTTAATATTTTGAGTTTAAAATTATAATTCACATCTTGAGCAATGCTCGAGTTTCCCACTTGATCAATTTATTTCTTGGTTTAGAATCTAAGACATGATACTGAGTTACCTGCGCCAAGTCCATTCCCATCTATATATATTATTTGCTTCACCATGTAATCTAACATAGCATCACACCTTAGAAAAACCACCATATTAATTAAGATTAATATTTAACGTTGTATATATGCTTAATTAATAAAAACCAAGTGTTTTGTGTCTTCCATCCCCCCAATCGTGAATTTGTTTCCTTCTCTAGAATTAAGCTCAAACACGTATAGCTGTGGACTTGTGGTAAACATAATTCTCTTTTAAGGTTGTATATATGCTTAATTAATACAATATACATAGGCCGATGATGAGCGCCATTTTGAATTAGTACGTAGCAACAAGTGTCATTGCGTTTATGATTACGAACCCTCATTAACTGTATACTAGTATATTGGTTCTTCATTTTTACTATCAAAATTATAAAAATACTTAGAATAAACAAGCCAATAAGAAACATAAAATATTTAAATTTTGAATCATAATTAAATTAATTGCATCAAAATTCATAAAATTATTAAATTGAATACTTGTTTAATTTTTTATTGGTTATTGTCTTACCTTATTTGTTTTTTACTCTTCTAAACAAACACTCATAACATCAAAAAAAAAAAAAGGCAATATTTAATAAAGAAATTATTTATAAATTTTTTATTAATGTCTGCATCTTGAATTTATGTTCATGTCATATATAATTGAAAAGAACAGCTTAAAAAGAAAAAGGTTCATAACAATATAATATTAAGTGAAAAATTTTTATATTTATTATTTTTAAAGAGTTATATATATTTATCCTAGTTATTAATTATTAATTATTTTGAAAGATATTTCAATTTATGCCCCTAATTTTTACTTAAGTCCAAATAAAAATATTTTATATGGTTCAAAAATAAAAAATAACTTTATTATAATTATCAAAATTATCTGAAAATCAAACCTGATTATTTAAAAAAATATATTTAAATATATTTATTTATAAATAATTCTAAACCATCTATTAGAGATTAAAAAAAAGTTAAATAATACAACTTATTATAAATAAGAATTCAAAGTTTTTGATATGTGTCAGGATTTTTTTATATTTATACATAAAGTTTGCAAATGCAATTAATAAGAGTTACCTATGCCATTCAATCGTGATAAGTCATTCTTATGGTCTAGAGGGAATTGGCGGTGTGAATTGATTGGCTAATTTAGGCTTTGATGATACCTATTTAGAAATTTTGTCTTATTTTAAAACTAATTAAAAATATTACCCAAGAAAGAAGATATATACCAAGAGGACATATAAATAAAAGAGAGTTAAAAAAAAATCTAAATGAAATTATTCTTATCTTTTTTTTTCGATATGTATATAATTTTTTGTTTTTTTATTTATTATTTATAGAACTAAATAATAATAATTCTATTAAATAAATTTTTTTATAATATATAAGAAATAATTAATAATATGTACAGTAATTATTTCATATATTTATATAAAAAAATTATTGTTTTTGTTATTATTTATGTTTGTGTGTTATAAAATTTTTTATTTAGTAGAATATATATATATATATATATATATATATATATATATATGAAAAGCGTGTTCTTTATATACTATTGAGTCGCTGTATTCCCATCAACGTTGCTTTTAATGTGCTTCTTTCTTTTGGCCGAGGGCCCTTTTTTTTCCCCCCAGAAAAAAAAAAAAAAAAAACTTCCAAGTCATGTTCAAATAATAAAAGTGGTTGCAGAAAAAGAAGAGAGAAATCACTGTCATTCATTGAAAGCACGGATCAGCTTGCAGGCTTTATACGCGCTCCTGGAAGGGATAGTGGGGTCGTTAGTCAAGGGAAATATTTAAAAGAAGTTATGCCCTCGCGGGCAATTTTCCATTGCTAAAGCTTTGCCACTTGTCAACCTTTTATTTGCATAACTTGATATCAAAAGTTCGATAAAGAAAAAAGAAAAAGGTGTTGTTGCTTGAACGGAGAAAGTTAAAAAAAAGCATGGAAAAGCAGAAGAAAAGAAAGGCATAAGATATGTGGGTAGCATTGGTTGAAATAAGAACAAAGCTTACCTCAAAGAAGAGTACTTAGCATTGGCAAATTTTCAAGGCGGTAAATTTATTCAAAGGGAATCTTTCAACATGGGTGCTCCTATTGTTTATTGGGCCACGAGGGGTGTTTCGGGTGACCTGCTTTTAAAGGCTCTTTTCTTACATATATGTCCAAAGTTTGGTAAAGAAGCACGAATTTAGTTTTGGATACATAGTTTTTTTTTGTTCGTATACAATTAATTGTTATTTTGATGGTGGGTTGGTGCCTGTTGAAAAATTAGCCAGTACTGGTATCCCTTTTTAGGTAGCTGATAATTCTAAAGAAGTTCCTTAATAATCCCTCCTAATTTAAGTGCCATATCTGTTGCCTAACCTCCTAAGTTTTATAATCTTGAATCAACCGAAGAATAAAGAAATGCTTTATAAACATGAATTTTTAGTCAGTTGTGAACTACTGAAAGTTCGGCCAAGGCAATTAGCAGGGGACTTTGACCTTTTTTTTTAACCTCAGCAAGATTTAGCCTGCAAAAACTTGTAGTAAATGATTTCTGATAATAAGAGGTTTGGTATTTGTTGACAATCATATAACAATGTATCTTTAGTATCATCGATCGCATTCAATAAGGTTATCGAACTTTGGAATTGAATTAATAGTCATTTGTATTGTAGTTGATCCAATATTCATATACACAAATATAATTTGATTCTTGAAATCTACAAATGTATGTGAAGCATGCATGTAAGATTTGATAGTCAAATCAGAACCTAATGAGAATTCAAACAACTAACACAGAAACATGATTTTGTTTCAGTGCAAGGAGTGATCAACTTACCATATGGTGAAGTGCCCAATCCTTGGTTGTATGCGTCAGTGGGAGTATCAATCCCATTCAGGCTGCCCACATGAACTACTGTTTGAAACCAATTTGGTTTCCCTTGTAACTCAATGTCCTTAAATTGCCCAGTCTTCGGGTCATAAGAAACCAGAACTCTGTTCTTATACTCCAGCAGAACTTCATCATTCTTCCAGACGCACAGAGCTCTAACAACCCTTCCATTAGATGCATTCTTCCATAACTTTAGAGGTCGGTCCAGATTTTTTTTCAAACCCTTTGGCATGTAAGTCCCAATGTTGTATTTTTTAACCCAAGACTCCTTCACATCGTACTCCTTCATGACCCAAATCTCCAATCTTCCATAATTGCAATAAACAGCAGCAGAGAGGCAACCACTCAGAACCACTAGATGATAGTTGCGCCTATTTAGGCCACCGCAGTCCGGTTTGGGCACTTCTCGGAATTGCTCATCTGTCAAGTCGAATGAAACCAGCCTGCGGGCAGGCTTATTTCTACACGGTCGGCTAACCCAATGAAGCCTTCCATTAACCAGGGCCTCCGACGTCCGGCGAACAAGCCGGTATGACACTTTGCCTAGACTTCGCCATACATGGCAGCCTACTGTTAAAATTTGAACTTCTGATAGAGGATAAATGATTCTACGTGACCTAGGGTAGCCCCCATGCCCATTCCTGTAATACACAATCCTAATCACCTTGTATTCTTGAGTCTTGGGACTGAAACCAAACCCAAACACCACTTCTTGATCCGGATACTGCAAGGATTTTGGCAGCTCCGTATAGCTGCCAGTGAAAGGATTGTAGATATAAAGAGAATCATTGTATAATGAGTCGGATAGGCATAGTAAACCATTACATGAGCCTACCACTTCGAACTCTGGCATCATAGAAGAAAAAGGTGCTGGAATTCTTTTCACCTTCTCCTTTTCTTCCTCGGGAGCAGCAAAATCCACAAAGTAGAGATTGTTTCTGATGGGAACGTCGCAGTGAAGGATTAGGCAAGGATGATCAGTATCCTGAGTTGAGCAACAGAGGTAGAGATTCACAAGCTGAGGGTCCTGCACCAAGGCACGCCAAGGTCGGCATACACACTTGAATTGCATCAAAGAAGTGATGGGTAATCTTGAAAGTATATCGTGAGCAATCTCCCGTGGCAGAAGTTCCATTCCAGTTGTTTGTGGATCATCTTCAACCTTGGTTTTTCTTCTTTTGCTATGTTTTTCAAAATCTAAGTCCATATTGATCACCATAGGTAAAAAGGTTTACCAGATCAAAAGACTGGGGCTTGAAGATGAAGAATTGTAGTTGCAGATAACATGGTGGACTTTGATAAGATCAACGAATTTTTTTAGGAATGGGGTTGGAAACCACAAGGTTATTGGTGTTTCTATATGGGAGCCACCATTGAATAATTCTCCACGAAAAAAAAAGAGTTTGGTTTTCTAAAGAAAAGTTAAATTTGATTGACCCAACAATCAATACCGTCCAATAAAAGAATCTATGGCCAAGATATGATGCAGAGAAATTGCAGGGCTTATGCATCCTATTCCTTGTCTGTGGGTGCATGGCCCTACCGATGGAGACCTAGCAACATTTATTTTTAATAAGAACATAAATTTACAATTTAATGTATTTATTGTATCCTAGACAAAGTTATCTTCTTCTCTTTCTATTGGAGCTTGGATGCCCCTGCTGTATGTGTTCTTGCAAGAAATTTTGTTTAAGCAGATGCCGGGAATCATCCTTGTAAAATATTTTTCTGAAGAGGGGCCCAATAAATTAAAATATGTCCAAGATCCAGAATAAAATTCATTGCATAAATACGATTAATACAAAGTCATAGTACAAAAGGACCAAACGCAGCGCAACGAATAGCCATAGAAGTAGACTTATGGGAGCTAGCTAGAGTTGTGTCATTTAGCTACGATAGCCTTATGGAGTCTAACAATAAGGTCTGAAATAGATTAGAATAATCAGCCGTTTAATGTCAAGGGCCATGTGAGCATGTTGAGAAGAAATTTCTAGGAAGCTGGGAGGAATATTCCAGCGGCTAACACAGTGAAATCATCAAAAGTTTTTTTTTTGGAACTGATTAAGGAAGTTAAGCATGCAATTTCAAAGCATTTTGTCTGTCTTCTTTTAAGAAAGCAGCATGGAGATTATTCATTTCTAAATAGGAAACTGTTGAATTTAAGGATTAGATTATAATACTTAAAGAGCTAAAGGTTAAAATGAGAGAAGTAAAACCGTTAGAGGACCAATTTGTAAGAATATGTAAAGTTGAAAACGTTACCTATTCGGTTATTAACCAATCTGTTTTCCCAACAGAAACATACGGTATAAGCTTTGTACTTCTCAACAGGATTTTGTGCCTAGAAATGATATATATATTAAAAAAACAAAACATGTTTTTGTCATGAGTTTATTGAATGCTCTGGATCAATAATAAAAACATGACAGGTATTAGTTTTTCAAAACTATAAATATAAATTCAATAGTTGTTCTAAAACAAGTTTTTCTTCCTCTTTGTTATATATATATATATAAAAATTGCTAAAAATTCTAAGTTACAAATATTTAAATAGAAAAATAAAAATAAAAATAGAGCATTTAATTAGAAAATTTGTAAAAGTAAGACGCTGGATTTTTAATTACATTTACAGATGGGTGCGTGCATCAAGCGTAACTTTAGATATGCTGATAATATCCTGGCAGTCACACAGTATTTTCTCCTTTTATGCACTCCGCTTTCAAATTCTCAGAAATTTCCCAATGTCACAAACAAAGAATCCTTTTGCATAACCACAAAATAGTACCGTCACATGCTTGTCATAGATACAAAAGGGACAAAAATGTCATTCGAAATGAAAGGGGACAGATATATTTTGTCAAATGCTACAGTTACAGATTACGTTGTATTCTCTTGTTGTGTGATGTGTCCAAAGTAATTGGGTAAAGCAATTTATACATTCTAACATTTGAGCGGTTCTTGACCGTACCGAATATAGCAAATACCAAGAAGCTCCCTGAGGCTCACTGGACAAATGGTGATATATGTCTCACCATTTTTTTTCCCCCTTATGAGAGGATATAGCTCTATCCAACTTTGAGATTACAGAGGCACTACTACATATCAAAATGAAAAAAATCGGTTCGACCGATTCAGTATTGATTTCTTTTCTCTTTCACAACGGAATCATTGCTGGTCAATATTTAGCTCAGATAGACACTTATTTACCCTTGTAAAGGAAAGGAATTCCTTTCCTATTGTCTCTAGAGATTTAAGCTTCGAGTTCTGGTTTTATGATCATTAAGATCTGATTTGAGGAAAAAGAAAGAAATGATTGCCAACACCATTGTTAATAAATTTCTTTGGATTCCCTTTTGAGCCTTTCAAATTTATATCAAGGTTTTTTGTACATGGTATTTCCACACATATCAAATAAATAAATAAAAGCATGATCACAGTGGAAACGCAATTTATATGGATCCAAAAATAAAAAAAGCGCAATATATGAGTTTAGCTTTTCTAAAATGAGGAAAACATCAAAGAATGTTTTAGATAATGATGTTTAGATCATAATTACATTATGAGCTCAATTTTTGTAAGGAAACTGAATATTTCTCCAGTCGGATTTTAAGTCGGCCAACCACTCTTGGAAGTGGCACATTCATGAGGAATACAATTTTCCGTCTGAAGAGGAATTTAGATCAGGGAGCAGTAGACCAGCAGTTCTAGTTTCCAGCCTAATAAGAAAGAAGAGGAAATCCATTAGACTGAGTAGTAGTCCAGCAGTTCCAGAAAAGCCCAAGCAAGGTAAAGATTGAGTGTCCAGAAGATCTTTCAATGAAAGTATGGAGAAATCAAAGAAAGATTTGTGATGTAAAAGGTATTTTCCTTTTAACCACAAATTGTGGTAAATTATAGAGTTCCAGAAGTACCTGTATACATTTTGATTACATATCAATCAGAGTGTCAATCGAATTGAGACTACCTATATGAACAAGAGTTTCAAACCAATTTGGCAAACCTTGAAACTTAATTTCCTTAAATGTTACACATCTGGGATCATAACAAACTAGAACTCTATATATATATACTCTTAACGGGATGTCACCATTTTTCAAACGACACGGTACTCTAGGACATCTTTTGTTCATATAAACCTTGGTAAGTAACTTCCGATGTTGAATTCCTTTGTCCAGGACTCTTTCACCCCATATTCTTTCATAATCCATATTTGAAGGTCAGATAGCCATGATAAACAAGTTCAGAAAGACAGCCTCCTATGTTCACTAATTGAGACCGACGCCAGCCAAACTTAACACGGCCAGGCTATGGAACTTCTCGAAATTGTTTGTCTGCAAGGTCGAAGGAGGCAAGCTTGCGAAGAACCTGTTTCCTGCCTCTGAGACTCAACCATTGAAGTCTTCCATTAACCAAAACATGTGATGGCCGTGGATTAAGTACGACAGATGGTAATTCTCCGATACTTCTCCAACTGGGGCTGACAAGACTAAAAATTTGAACTCTCGACTGTACAGGTAAAGAGTATTCTAGGTGTGGGGGGATGTTGACTTCCTTTAATATACTATCCTGACAAGTGACAACCTTGTACTCCTTTGTTGTTGGATGGAAACCAAATCCAATCAACACCTGTAGTTTTTTCAAATGCCATTCTGGTTCAGGCAACTTTGAGTAATCCTTGGTGAAAGGATTATTCATATGGATTGCATTTCTGAGAAGGGAATTACATATGCATATCAATCCATTACAAGAACCTACCACTTCAAACTCCGGCGTCATCTTCTCAGGCACACGAATCCTTTTCACGGTCTGACCAATATTGTTTTCATTGTAAGCAGAGAAATCAACAGAGTAGAGCTGGCTTTAGATAGGGAAGTCGCAGCGTAAGATAAGACATGGATCATTCTTGGCGATGCGGGTGAAATGCATATTAGCTAGAAGGGAGTCTTGTACCATGTTAAACCAAGATCGGCATACCAGCTTAAGATGCATTAAAGATGTTACAGGCAGCCTTGATGGTATATCAAGCAGAATATCCCGAGGGACTCTCTCGATGGTGATACTTGGTCGATCTTCTAGGATCTTACTCCTTTTCATCTTACAAATTGCCCCACAAAAATTTTCTGTCATGACTAGGTTGAAGATTAGGAGATTCGAGATATAAAAAGAAGGTGATGGCCATTTGAATAAAAGATGAATTAAAAATACAAAAAGGCAGAAACCACAACAAAATCCCAGGTTAAATAATTCTCATCGACATTAACCCTTAAATGTGAAATGACAATAATTCACGTAGACAAATGTTTGTTTTTGATCTTAAGCAATGAAAAACCAAATGAATGCGCCAAAATCAACTCGCTCGCCCTAAGGTGGGTTCATGAGTTATATAATTCAGTTGCCATTAGTATCTTTTCTATGTCTAAAAGATGTGAGTTCAAGACTTTCATTTGTGAAAGAAAAAAAGCCCCACGGCGATATTTCAATTTATAACATTCCAACAAGACAACTTATTTAAAATAAAGAAGAAGAAGACATTAGAATCCATGTCAATTTGTGGAAGCAATATATATAAAGGTGCCGTGAAAAATCATGTAGCTGCAATTGTCTTAATCTTGTAAAATATTGTTATTACTTCAATGGTGATTTCGAATTAGTCCTTAGGTATTTTCCAGGAAATGATTTTCCAAAAAAATATTTCTGTTGTTTGGCAATTATATGAAAAAAACTACTAGAAAATATATTCTAACGTTTATTTGATGCAAAAAATTAAAATATAAAAACATTATGTGATTGTTACATTAACAAGTTTTGATAAAATTTCAAAAAGGCATATTCACAATTTAATAATGTAAGATATATTTAGAAAAATTTAATAAATTTTCATAAATACCGACTCTAAAATTTTAATTCAAAAAATAAAATATACTTTTTTAACCATCAAAATAATTCATCAAAATTACTTAGGACAAAATCAAATCAATATTCACATTTAGTAAAAAGAAATTTCTAAGTAATCCTAGCATTATTATTTTGGTAACTCAATTGAGAATTCTTTTTCTGGAAATTGAACTGATAACTTAGTCTAAAAAATAGTTTTATAAATTATTAGTTATCATTTGTAGATAATTATTCATTTGATTCTAAAAGATTAAAGTTAGAATAATTTGTAACCAATTATTCACTATATTTGCCAACAAAATTTTACAACCGATAAAAATTAAAAACTTTTGATTTAGTTGCAAATGAATAGTATTAGGAAAATAAATAAATAATTAATTAATTTTAATTTTTTACAAAAAATTGCAGTCTTGTAATTATAATTTTCAATCATTTAAGTATAAATTAGGTGGTGTTTGAGATAATAGTAAAAAAAAAGAGATAAATTATTAAAATATTTTATTATAAAAATAATTTTAAGATGTAAAAATAGTTTTAAGAATATTTAACGTATTTATAAATCAAAAAATCAAATATTAGTAGAAATAGAGAAAAATATAATTAAATAATTAATAATAATTGATAAGGAATAATTAAAAATTAATGTAATATATTTTAAATAAAAAGAAGATAGAGAAAAAATTAGTAAAATATATAGAGAGAGATAAGTAACGTGAGAGCGAGACAGACTCGTGAGAAGAAAAACGTTTTTCTCTTTTTTAACTGAGAAAATATTTTCTTAAAAATATTTTATTATTTTTCATTGATATTTTTTTTAAATACGAAACAAACCCTCAAAAACGAGAAACTTGTTTTTTTTCAAACAAACACAGCCTTAATCAATATGCCTTTTTCTGCTACACTGGCTCTTCCGTGTGCATCAGATCAGACTATGCTTTCAGAATCCTCTTTTGTTTTAAAAACCATTTACATTATTGTATGCATGTCTCAATTGCCTTCTGTCGAATCACCTTTTTTTTCTTTCTCTTTTTTTTTTAAATTGCAAGGGTAAAAATTTTTAAGCAATTTTATTCGACTTTTCTTGATACTCTAGGCTTGAAACATGGGCCACGGTCCATTTCTATGGGCCCTGGCATGAGTGGCTTTTTATTTTCAGTCTTTTTTATTTTTGGAAAATTTTATTAGACTTTTTCGTATTAGGCCAGATATGTAAACACGCGTGGCTTGAGTAGTGGCCCATGCACGAATGATGTGGGAGGTAATGCGCTTTTCACGTCCTTTTCTTTTTGTTCATCTTTTCCCTTTAAAAAAAAAAAAATTGATGTTTGGGCTTTATAATTTGGGCTTAGCGTGTAAACCTTCATGGCCCATTATTAGGGGGCAACGTATGAATAGTGTTAGCAACAGTGTTTCTGTTCTCGCTCATCAAGTGTTTTTAGGCCTTACCTTTTCTCTCAGGCTTTGGGCTTGTTAGGTCGTGTCTTGCAGGAGAGTTTTCGTGGGCCATGACATGCTCTCCATTCGAATTTCTGCAGCCTTGTTTCAGTCAAAAACATTTCTTTCCTTTGCTGTGAGCAGGTGATACTTATCTTAGGAGAAATTTTATAATACATAAAAGTAACTAGTGATATATACATTGGTACTCTTTGGGTCTATTTTGAAGAGAGAAATAGACACACAAAAAGAGAAAAAAAAAACAAGAGAGAGAAAATAAAAAAATTTGAACGGACGTGAAAATCTTCTTATTACTTTTGGTGAGTATGAATGTAATTTTTTTTTATGTATCTATCTCTCTCCTTAAAGTGGACTCAAGTAGTAACTATTGTACATGCCACTAGTTACTCTTTGTATATTATAAAATTTTCCCTTGTCTCTATTCTTTAATTTGAACGACAAAGGATCACTCAAATCAGTTTAGCTAAATTGCAATTAAGTCTCTTTTATTCATCCAAATGATTTATGAGTTTCGCCAATTAAATCTATTGATTTAATGTATAAAGGGTACTTACTCTTTTTTGATTTTTTTGTTTGTTTATATAACTACTCGCTTTTGATTTATGTGGCTTTATGTGTGAGTATGATTCAATCACTCAAATAATCTTAGAACAATTTTAGTAAGTAACTTTAAGTTTATAAATTACTCATTACTTTAGTGTATAACTTCGAGATATTTACTCTTTCAATACATCAATTTTATACTTTTTTACTAGCTATTTATCCATGCAACGTTATTGGTCCAATAAATTAAATTATTTTTTTATTTTTTTATTTTTTTATAAATTTTTTATTTAAAAAACATTATTTTTTTTCTATGTATTGATTCTTAAATAAAAATTTATAATAATTTAAATTGAGAAATTTATCAACAATTAAATAAATACTTTAAAAAAACATTTTTTCATAAGAATGTATTCAAAAAATAAAGTTATAATTAATTCATAAACTTGTACAAAATTAATGTTGATGATAAGATTAATTTTTGAAAATATATGTATTTGATCTATATATATTTATTTACAAAACAATCAATAATTTTATCATAAAAAATTTTAGTTGAATAATTGGTTAATTCCTCTAAAAAATTATTTTAATTATCTTATTTCAAATAATTGGTTCTATAATCTTTAAAAAAAAAAATCATAGCAAATAGTCGGTGTTATGTGTGAAGATGTATTGTTAATTTTTAATAAAATCGATGATTCTATAGTTTTTTTTATATTTCTTGACCATACCTAGTTGACCGAGACAAATTATCCGAAATACACTTTTAAATTTTTAGATTAAAATTAAAAATTCTAAGAATTCATGATATATATTATATCATTTTTTTAAACCATGTTTAAAATTTTATTCTAAAATTTAAATTTATAGAAAAATTAATCATATTTATCAGTAAATAAAATTTTATTTTAAAAAAATTAATTGAGAATTTTCATAAAAATGACAAATTTAAAGAATAAATTTTAACTAGTAAAACTAATATAAGATGAAATATATCTGAATTTAAAAAAAATAAAAAGATAGTTTATATATATATTTTATCTTCGTCACGTTGCGTGAAAAATACAAGTAGTAAAGTTCAATGTTCCATAATTTTTAAAAAATCTTGATGAAAAAATTAGTGAAAAGGCAAAGAAAAAAAACAATGGACTAGGCCTGAACGACCAGGCTTAGAGGATCGAGCCCACACGCCAGGGCTTAGAACAGTTGGCTTGCGCTCCTAGGCTTGGAATAGCTAGCTCGCGTGCATGGGCTTGGGCAGGAATAAAACAACGCTTTCAACTTTTCGACAAACTCGATTTCACCGAAAAGTCAAGTATCTCATTTCCCAACCTATCAAATCCAAATTTACCTACTTTTTGTCTAAAAACACCTCAAATTCACATAAATAACTTAATTAAACATGTTTAAAAACTCAAAACTCATTTTAATTCACACAAAATGCATAAAAATTTAAATCAAAATGAAAATTTTGAAATATTTTAGGTATCTTGTTTGACTATTTCATCGTTTTCCACCACTATAAATGGATTTTACTCTTTGAAATGAACAAAATGGTGTCAATATCTAGCGGTAGAGTGGCCAAAATGAGCCTTGCTATTCATTTCTCTCTCTTTCGTTCTCTATCCCTCATTTCTCTCTCTTCATGGGATTCAAGAACGAAAATGGACAAAAAATGAACTTGGAGATCGAAAAGACTCGTGTTTAAAAATGAGAGACCAAAGTGCATATTTTTTGCAAAGAGTTAAGTGCACAATGAATCAATATTGAAATGCCATGCCGAGAGAATGAATGGTTAAAAAGCTGTAAAAAGTGAGGGAGTGCACAATACCTTTACGATGAATTATGGTTTTGTTTTAATATTATTAATAATTTGTTAATTGCTCTATTTTCTTTATGTGCTTTGACTTATTAGAAGAAAATTACAATGTTCATACATTAACTTTTACTTTGTCTCAATTAAGTACACAATTTTAACTTTTTTTTTTTTAATTTGATACACTAACCTTTTCGGTTATACTAATCGACTACTTTTGTAAAAAAATTCACTTTTTATGTTTATTTTTGAAATCACACGGTATTTATTTATTTGGTTAAGAAAACAAATATTTTAATTATATTAATAATTAATTATATTAATTTAAATTAATCATAAATAATTTTTAGCTTCGGTGTAGATTGTAAATAGGATGGTATAA